TAGCTACTTGGTCAGATAGCGTAAATATATGTAGATATGAAGAAGCAAATATTACAATAAGAAGCTTGCGAATTCTTTTGAGGGTCAGCTGGTCATACAAAATTGTTCCTTGTCTAGCATGGTCAGAAATGCATGCGTTTCGTTACATGATTGCATGAGCAATCAACGAATTGCGTGTGTGTATGTGTGTGTGTGTGTGTGTGTATGAGGGTATGTGTGTCTCAACCCCTCATGTACGTTCGACATTTGGAGGCTTAACCGGAAACTTTTAATTTAATTAATTTATACACAAAGGCGCGTAATCAACAAAAGATGACGGCGCGACGACTTGCGGTGGACGCCTGCATTTGTCACACATTTTCGCTGGGCAGTGCTAAGCTGAGCCATGCCCCTGCCACACACCCTTACACACACTGTTGCATTTTGCCATGAGATTTGCCATTTCTCCCGTTACATTTCTACTGTTACTGTGGCTGGCTATTGCATTTAAAGCATTGCATGCATGCTTTTTATGCACAACAACAACAACAACCTACTATTACAACATTCTGGCGAACCATGAGCCGTGTGCATCTGATAAATTCATTTCATGTTGCTCTTGCTGTTGCTATTGCCGCTTGTACTGTACTGTGTACTGCAGTTTGAGATAAGTTTGCCTTTTTATGTGTCCATGCCGATTCCGATGCCCGTGCCAACGCCCATGCTCGCCTTCCCCGGTCGAACTACCCATAGTTTTTGTTATTCTTTGAAACAAATTGCAAAATGCAAATGTGCAATATTATTTGTCATAATTCAAACAGCGGGATGACTTCCTCTCCAACGTAGTACTCGTATTTATTTTGTAAATTTGAATTTGTCTTTGCGCTTGTTTGTTTTCCTTCAGCATCGACTCGCCTGCACACGGGTCGTATGAGTAATGTCTTTCATTCTCTGGGCAACAGGTGTATGCACGTATGTATGTACATACGAATATGTATGTATTTCGAACTAATAGTTAATTGATTTGATTCGTTAATGTTCTCAGGCATGTTGTTTAATTTAGATGAATTGATGAGCTGCATTTGGACGGCTGATTAAAAAATGGAATCGACCGCCCACAGCATTAATTCACTAAATTTGTTTAAACAAATAAAAGAATGGATAACATACAAAATACAAAAAACGAATAATTATAACAATACAATCAACAGGCTGCTGGCCAGTGGAAGTCGCTAACGGACTAAATATTTATAAGTGTGGTGGAAACACATAAAATTTAATTTGCTGGACTCCATACACACATTCGTGTGTATAGTACATATAGTATGAGTGGATTTTTATTGATTTTCGCTGAGGTTTTTTTTTTTTTGGTGCCTGGCATATGTTTATACCATTTGGGGCTCATGCCCATAAATTTCAAATTATTTAAGCAAACACTTAGCAATTAGAACACACTTAAAGTTGTTAATAAAAATACGCACAAAACTTCATTCAAAATCAAATTCAAATTACCTGCCAATGACAGAACAAATTCAGGGTTTTCGCGGAATTTTCATTGGACCCAATTGGGGTTCAAAACTGCCGATGGGCTTGCAAATACCAATAGTTGTTTTTGTGAAATCACAAGGACTTTGCCGATATGTGGGAGTATGTTTATAGCTAATTGATTTGCACACTTATTTCATTTTTCGCAATTCTCAGTTGCCGATCGTAAACCATATCAGTTTAGGCCAGTTTGCTAGCTACTTGTAGTAGCTCGAATACGCACAGATACTTTCCCGCGCCCGTTACCGCACCCGGCACGACCTGTTGCGCCTTTAAAAATTTCTTTGTATCGACGCTAATTCAATTGACACTTTTGGCGGCTCTGCCTTCACTATTGACTTGCAGTAAAAATATAATGGAAAATTTTGTTGCTTCGGCCAGACACAGGCACATACACACCCGCACACCCGCACAGCGCAAATTATTATTTTTGTTAATTTATTTTTATTTTATGGCACTCGCAGTTTGGTTTTAACCAATATTTTTGGCTGCCCTTAGTTTCGAATTTGATTAACCGATTCGCTAGCGCCTCGGTGCTAAAAACTCCGACGCATTGTTCGCTGCCCAACGCTCGATGGCAAAATGCGCGACTGTTTCGCATGGATACGCTGACGGGGGGTTTCGGATTGAAATTTAGATTCGGACTCGGGCTCGGACTCGGATGCGTGCGACTACGACTGCGACTGAGGCTTTGGCCACTGGTATGGCGCTAACTGTTGCTCGGCTCTCGGCACTGCTCGACTCGGGTTGCTTTGGTATTCGGCCACTTGTGGCAGGCAGGCATGCAGGCAGGCAACAACAAACCTTCGGCGCTCTGTTCGCATGTTGAGTTCTTGAGTCTCGCGTGCTTACGGGTGTGTGGTGAGTGGTGAGTTACCCGCAGCAGCGGCCGCGGCGGCGCGAACCTATACTTTGGCAGCTCTATGGCTGCGCTGCCTGTTTGGTTCAGGCTCTGCATTAAAGCTGCAGCCATAAATGAATATCTTTTAATTGTTTTCAACGTTTTCATAGCATATTTAAAGCCGCACGGCTCGCTGCCATCGATTGTCCGGCATGGTGGATTTTATGTCGTTCTATTTTTGGTGCGTTGTAAATGTTTTTTACGTTTTCACGGACGTGAACGGCATTTCTACACTTCGAAAATTCGACCATAATTGAGACATAAACAAAAATGCCGCCACTGTTTCTCACAGTTCTTTGACTTTTTAATGAATTGCCTCAAGAGTTGACGGCACTTTCAATCATCGACGGGTAGCTCATTGAAATTGATGGCCTCTATGGGAGAAGGGACGATTGCGGAGGCAGGAAGTGGCAGTACGTATGAACTGCGGCGCCACCTTGACTGACATTGGCAATGAATTGTTTGACTAACTGTGCCACAAGGTGCTGCACGCAATCAAATGCCGTACGTACGGCCAAAAAATCAATTTGCGGCATTTCATTATTTTATTGGCTGCCACTGCTTCATATTAATTGACAACAACGATACATTGTTATTTTTTATGAATTTTGTTATTGATATACACAACAAATGTTTATTAACATTAGAGGCACGTGATCTGAATAAACTACCAGAGGGTCGCATAAAACCGATTAATAATTTGCCAAATATTAAATTCCACAGCCGCCACGTGCGCACAATAGCCACCCATTTGTTTGCTGCCCATTTCGGATGCAAACGGAAATGTTTTTCAAAATCTCCTCAATATACACTCAAAATTGGCGAGAAATCAGTTAACAGATTGCTTAAATTAATTTTTAAATATACTTACATATTATTAATACAAACAAATAGCTGCGCTAGCTTTTAAGCTTTTAAGATATGAAAAGCTTTAGCGTCAAACTACACCAAGGACTGGTAATTGTCTACGCTAAGTGCTTATTTGAAAAAGTGCTACCCATTCTCTTTTGGTAATTTACACAATTCACTTTTTATACACTGTACGCAAAGGGTTAATACATAGGCATACTGGCAGACCTCATATATGCATCCATGTATGTATATGTACATATTTGATCTGCACGACGAACTTATATATCATATATATATTTGTATAGTGCTTCATAATATTCGGAAGCATCATCAAAATCGATTTACCACATCATCGCTCTTATCAGTCTTAATACTTCAACCTTTTCGGTTTATTTCGATACTGTACACAAATTTTGAACTTTTGGGTGTTTACTGCCTCATCATAAAAGAAAATGTGAAAAAAAACTTCTGCATTCTCGATTCAAATATGTATGTAGATATGTTTGAATGTTAAGACTATGGCTCCAAAATGTCTCGCACGCCGGAACTGCAAAAACATATGTAATATCACCCAAATACAAAAAACTGAACCCTTCTTAAGTGTAATTGTAGATGTGAGTTGGCTACACAAGCTGCCATGACATTCAATGAATGCCAGCGACTGAAAAACGATGATTAATTCGAAATAAAGAAAAATTGGTGGGGGGAAATAATGTTTATCAGTTTTGTTTACATTGTGGCCGCTGTTTACAAACAAAAAGCAACTAACCCGCTGTGGGGACGGTAAGTGGGCGCTGACTTGTGACATGATCAGCACTCGGCTGCACTTTTCGAAACGCGAATTGCGAGACTGTGACATTCCGCCTATCGAGTTACCAACAACAACAACAACAACAAATACAACAGTGGCTACAACAGTATTTAGAAGCGCTTTCCGCTGTGCCAGCGCTTCTTTTGCATTTGTATGGGTAGAAGATAAATTATGTGTACAGTGATCGAGAATTGTAATTTGACAAACAGACGATTACGAGTAAATGTTAATATAGTGTAATTTAAATATTGAATAATATTTTAAACATACATATGTTTAACAATAATATGAACAATAATCAACTATAAGCTGGCTTAAAATGTTTTAAATTTTTCAACATTTTCTAATATTACAATTATTGTTATTAATATTACCATTATTTCCTTCAATTTATTAACTCTTATTTTGATATTGCTAAAAAAAAAACCTAATCGAATATAATTTAATTATTATACTTATTTTGGTATTATTTGTAACTTGTTGCTTTTATTATTTTAATACTAAAGGCAATATGATCACTTTAAATATGAATTATTATTTTTGTTACTTTTTTTAACAACACTTTATTTTTTTAATTATTTATACTGTTAATAGAATTATTAGCTCGAACATTTTAATTAAGAGTGAAAATATTTCAATAATGTATATACATATGTATGCATGTACTCTGTTTTGTCAAGATACATGTGTGACGTAATGTAGATACTATTATATTTACATATGGGCATTATTCTCACACACATTGGGTAAAGCGAGCATAGCGGAGGGAGTGGTGGGAGGCGCGTATTAAGCACATTTTAATTAATAAGCAAGACGCAGCTCGCCGCCAGACTGGGGCCACGAGGAGCAACAGAGCCGGCTTTGGCTCAGTCTTCGAAGTCGTGCGGCCGTGAAAGATGTGGAGCGGCACACAAATCGGAACAGTGAGCGGCAACGTGACGCCCAACGCAAGTAGCCACCCCACTGCTAGTCCCGGGTTAAGTCATCATCGTTTAGCGTGTGATAGTTCGATTTAGAATCGGATCGACATGTGCTGCTGGTGTGCACGTGTTTATTGGACAGTTTTGCAAAACTTATTTGCGCGTCTCTGTAACTATCTGGTGGAACAAAACTGCCGTTGTCGTCGGCGCTGTTGTAGTTGTTGCGTCGGCTACAGGCGTCAGATTAGCGACGCGGGCAAACAAGTTTCAGACAGTGACGACGATGCTAACGATGACGACGACGGTCGACTGAGAGAAACATTCAGATATCAACAGCAACAGCAGAATTCACAACACGATTATGTCATAGTGGGTGAGTTTTGTTTCGATTCAAATTTTTCGCCACTCCACCAACTTCCACTCTTGTCCGATGCAGACGATGCCGACGCAAACTATGTGGAAATCGAGCAGCGATCAATTGAAACCGAGTCCTACTACTTCACTGTCGATCGGGCCACAGCGGAACGCATGCTGAGGGACAATCGGGAAGACGGCGCATGTCTGGTGCGTCCGTTTAAGGCAACCGATTTGTGCATCAAGTACATTGTTAGCATCTATGCAGCAGAGCAGTTTTATCATCTGTTTGTGCGCCAAGTCGACAGTCGTCAACGCTACGCCATTGGGCAGGAGAAGTCCCACGAACGCCACTTCAATTCCCCCTGCGATATTATTGAATACTATACGAAACACTCCCTACTCTGCACCAACAAGCAGCAGAGCCAGTGCATCCTCTTGAAGCCCATAAGTTGTGCCTAAAAATGCAAGTCGCTGCTGGTCTACTGGTCTGAAAACTTCCATTCAGCCTCGATCTAGCGCTTAGGTTCAATTTATTGGGTTTAAATTAAACTATGTACAAAAGTTCTAACCCAATATGTAAATATCGAATATGTAAATTAAGCAATATACGAGTAAGTAATAACTAAACCTTAGACAAACTGCCTTCGAGTTGTGCCTTTTATGGTGCCTTAGGTGGCCACGACGGCCTTGAACATGCAACGATTGTTTTGCATAAGTGCTGGCCAGAGGAAGGCCTTTATCAAGTCAGAGCGACGATCAGACTGTGGATGCCGTTCGTGCTTCTCGGGACGCAGAAAACCTGTAGGAGAAGCAAAAATCCAATCAGGGAACAATTCAATTAAGCTGAGAACTAAATGCCCGTTTACCCAAATTGAAGTCTGTATCCAGGTAGTAGGGTGCCTTCTGATTGATCATGCGCCAGGCTAGACGCACACAGGCGCTGACGAAGTGCGTCAATGGTGGACAGGACTCCAAACAGGGATACTCGTGCAGGGTGGATAGCACCTGATTGAATACCGAGCGCTCGATCTCGCCCAGCGGGAAGCTGTTGACCGTTTCATGCAGATGCTGGCGCACAGAGCGATCCAAAGCCAGCGTCGTCTCGCAGCTGCTATCCAGGGCACAGTTGAGTGTACGTCGCACCTCCAACACCTTGCGCTCGCGCATGCCGTGGCAGAGTCGAAAAGAAAGCTGCGCAACAAATGTCAATCATTAGTTCAATAACTGCCCACGGCAACGGCCGAGGCCTGTTGCTGATCCACCCAATCACTACCACCGGCATGTAAAACATCTTGCTGGTGTCATTCATCTTTAGTTGGTTTCAGCCACTTGACGCCAACGCTGAACATCGAAAGTTTGCAGGCAACTAGTTGGCCGAAACCGAAAATCGCCAACGTAATTTCTGGTACGTTGCCGGCACATGGCCCGAGGCGCTTCACTTTCTCACATTTCTTCTACAAGTATAATGCCTAATCAGCGTAGACAATCTGCGGGAAGCCACTCCGGCTTGCACCAGTTTTCAATGCGCCACAAATTGATATTTTGCAATAACAATTTTGTTGCTTGACAGGATCTGCAGAGCCGCCAGGCACCACAGACTGGCTACCGCGCATAATAAATATGATTTCTTCTAGTAGCTGCTGCTGCTTTGAAATTGAAAGTAAAGCACTTGGGATTTGCTGTCAGAAGGCAAGTCCATCAATCAAAAAGATTAAGCGTTTTAATTGCCAATCATTGCCATATTTTCTTTCACATCTAAAACATTTTTTAACTTACAAATATTTAATTACTAATTTAATTCTGTAAATAAATATATTGGAATATTTTTTTCATTTCCTTTCATTTCCTAAATCTATAAAATAAATGCTACATTATTTTTGAGCATCCCTTTAATTTGCAGTGCATTTCGAAACATTTTCGAAATAGATGTGTGCGCTTCTCATTCCAACTCTTTCCAGGATAAACTTATTATCAAATTCGTGAGCTATTCTCATATGAAGAACTTAAAGCTGATTGCTTTGCGTTGATTTATATTCAATTACTCGGAAAAACATCTGGGCCCTTCTCCAAGCTTCTCTAGCCTAGAATTTAAGCTAAGGCTTTCTTTTTTTTATTGACAATATTAGCTTGTATTCGTACATAATTTTCAGATAGCTTGACCATCCTTAATGCTGTTCATACCAAGTATATTTTATTCAATCATTTCATCATCAAACTTTAGATATAGCGAATAAGCCTACATACTTGTATATAGAAAAACTTTGTTTTCAAACACATGTAAATTAAATTCAATTCATCTGCGATTTTTTCTGCGATTCTTATACCAATAAGATAAGTATTCTCCACTTCCGTTTACTTTTCGAACATTTAATTAATTAGGGAACACACTTACCACAATCATAGAGAACAAGATCTTTCCCTTGAGGCTTTGCGCCTGCTTCAGCTGCGGCAAGCTGTCCAATGCCTCCAAAGTGTCTGCTCTGTTCTCAATATACAAATTCCGATACTCTGACACCATTTCACTGCGAAGCAAATGAAAGTGTGGACAGTGACATGAGTACTCTTCAAGCGATTGATAGATACGCTTGTGTGGGAGAAGAAAAAGCGAACCATGTCAAGAGCTAGAATTCACTTACCTGCCATCTTCGCTGGCCGAATCATCAGAGTGGTAGCCATCACTGCAGCTGCTTCCGCCTCCGTTCGCATTCGCACCTTTGGGGGCTATCAGAGGACTGGGTGGCACACTTTCCGGACCCATCATGTGCAGCACCACCTCACAGCCGCGCGAGAAATTCATAAGCAGTCCGGCTGCTGGCCGCTTCTCGATATGTGCCTGTGCGTCGAGACGCTTCACCTGCCCAACACATGTGAGGACCTCTTTGTCGTTCTCCACCCGTTGTGTCAGATTTTCAACCAGCGTGATGAGCTGTTTCAAAGCCGGCTTATCGAGCATGGTCAGCAGCGTCTTATTGTCGATGAGACGCTGCTGTATGTCTCCGTAGTTGATGGCCAGCAGACGCTGATGGGACGAGTGCGCAGGATCCTGATTTACTGTCACCATGCTCAGCTCCTCCAACTTGTGTATGGCCATTTTATATGTGTCCACATGTCGCTGCAACTCTGTCTTGAGAGCCACATGCAGCGAAATCAGCTGACCCGAAGCGTCCGTGGTCAGGCCATGCACGCCCAAGCCCTGCACGGCATTGTCGAAGTTTCGTCTGCGTTCCCGCACCGCCTGACGCAATGAGGGCTCGAACTGAGCGAGTGATTGCAGAAGCTTGGAGCAGCGTTGCTTTAGACCGGACTCGTGGGGATTTGCAAAGAGGCGCACCAGATGCCACACTACCGATTCAACCGGCACTTCCGGCTTCGGTGTGGTATTAAGTGTGGTTAGGCTGCTTCGAAGGAATCGCAAAAACCATCACTAAAAGCGTCGAAATAGATCACCAATGTCACTTACCGTGTGAAGAAGGATTCCAGCAGATAGGCACTGTGTGGCAAGTGTTCCAGCAGCAAATCAATGGGCAACTCGGCCATGACCGAGCGCAAAACCGAAGGTCCCAGGCGGCCCACCACTCCGGCAGCTTCGCGATACTGACGTCCCTCAGAGAGTAGCATAAGGCGGCGTAGGACTTGCCGTGGACTGGTGAAAAATTCGCGGCCATCGCGCGATGGTCCGCGAATGCGTTCCCGACTGTCCGCCATGTGCACGGACTGAGAAATGGCGTCCTGGTGGTTCTTCAGCAGCAACTGTTTCCTGTCGGCGATTCGGGGGTTTTGTAGTTGAGCTACACTGGTGGATGACTTATTGGTTCTAAGTACAATTATGTGTGAATTGATGGGCGCGATTCTTTTTACAAATGCAGGAGCAGAACTACATGCAGATGGACAACAAGTCTGAGAAGAAACTGAGTGCTTACAGCAGATTCGGTTCCATGGCGTGCGGTCGTTCGGGCGCCTCGATGCCTTCTCTGAGCTGCAACATAAAAGTGAAACAATGTTAGCTGACACATGTATGTGATAAATATCTTTAAAGGAAATCTGTTTATAAGAATCCGCATGCAAACAATTGCCACTTTCTCTGGCGGGCCACATAATTTATCATAACTTAAGGCGGCACGCGTAATCACGTAGCGGGAACCGATTCCGATTGTCTAGGAAGTAAATACAACAACTGCTACGAATATACGCGCACGTTGTGGGAGCTTTTCCGATACAACAAATACCAACAAGGAAAACATGTGCCCCCAACAATAAGACACGACGCACAACAGACATGGGCAACATGACTGTTGGCGACTTTCCTTCATGGAAACCACTCATAGTACTGGCGCATACTTAAAAACTATTTACAATTCGACCGCAAATATTTAAACGATTTCTTGGCACAACAACAAAAATTCTATTAAAAACAACTCTAATGCCACACACACAGAAAATGAAACCCACCATCAAAACACACTTAGTTGACTTACACTTAAAGAAAAACCAACATTACTTTCATAATTAATCAAAGTTGTTGAGATAACGGGCCATTCCTCTATAGATCTTTCAAACCACAATAGCTAGGAACAAGAAACTACACATTCAGACCTTTCTATTCCGCATGGTTTTGAGAATGCCTCATTATATTCTGAGGTTTCATTTTACTTATATGTACATATATGTGGGCCTTGAAACTATTAATGGAACTAAAGGACCCAAGGCTACATGTTTTAACATAGTTTTAAAGAATATAATTACTAATTTGTATTACAAGAAAATGTTTAATTGAATTATTAAGTTGTCGTTTCCTCTTTTCGTCTCTCGTTTTTCTTGTTTCACATCTTCTTTTCGACTTCCTTTCTAGACTCGTATACTTCATATATTCTCCATACATGTGATGATTTTGGTGGGCTGTTGGCACTACGTTGCCAGACATATGTGAAGTAGGAACAAACAGACAACAAACAAACATATACTTATGATATAGAAACAAACGCTTTAAATATCCTTATAAAGTACACATTACACAAGAAGACGACTCTAAACTCTAAACTAAGCGGAAGCTACTGCTCGACTGGGATCAGGACTTTGACGGGACACTTGGTAGGCCATTCCTATTCCGCCATACCTCGACGTCCCTACAATAACTTCTGTTGGAGCTGTCGCGTTGGGGAAGAGGATGAAACGTTCACCCCTCTCTTCTGCAACTGCCCGACACACCTTAAAAACCAACTTCCTCCCGAACCTATGAGCACTATTCACGAAAAAACCAAAAGCATATCCCAGAATACCTACCCACCTTTACTTATTTGTTTCGTAAGTTAAAAATTTTGAGAAATATATTCCGACAAATGTATCTAATAACGATGGGAGACTCTTGTATTTTTTTAAGTGTACCACAACATTTAAATCAAGTTGAGGCGCTGAACCAAAACTGGCGGCACGATGCACACTGGCCAAGTGGATAGGAAATACTTATGTTTGACTTCCCAAGAACTTACCAATTTATGTTTATCAACATTCTCTGTACTTGTTCGGTACAAGAGAACCACCCAACCAAGGCAAATGAATAAGCATGGCTGAGTGAGCGAGTAACTAAATGAAATGACCCGCCCAAAGAGTTCAGACAACGTGCATTACCACCGACCCAAGAGCAGCTCCACAACATCTACATAGATGTATAAACGGAATATGGTGCGGTTGTTGACTTATCATTTGTGTTGCTGTTCTTGTTGCTGTTGTTGTTGGACCGTTTTACTGCCAAATGGCTGGCTTAGTAAGCCGCACTTGATTTCCTACTAAATGCGCTTTGGCAATAGTTTCTTGAGCCGCCGTTATGTTTCGGTGCAGGGTGTGTGTGAGAAAGAATTTTTTTTTTTTTTTTTTTTTTGATTTTATTGCTCTTTTTTATAGCGAAGTTTGCATATTAATATATATTTTCAGGCGTTGGCAGTGCAGCTTAATTAATTGTGCGCAGCTGGCTGGCGAATTATTGTGGGAAAGATGCTGAAGCTGCGATATATTTTTACAATGTAGAGTGAACGTACAACAGACGTGCGGACAAGTAGATACGTGTTGCCAAAAATCGGCGCAGGATTAGTTTAAACAGCTTAAATCAGATGTAAAACATGCTGCTCAGCAAATTCGACAGATCAGCACGTAGGCAGACAATTCACTGTTGTAACTTCCTTTGGTTTAGAATGGGCAAAAACAATGGACAGGTACCAGCAGCAAAAAAACAAACATAAAGACTGAACAGAAGGAGGAAAGACAGAAAGATAAATACTATAGAAAGAAAGGGCGATGATTATAATACAATTACGATTACGTGTCTAGCACGACAAAGGCGACAAATTGAAAGATGCCATCAGAATGTGAGCCGGGCGGCAATAAAAAAGTGGGCGGTTGGGACTCAGCATAAAACATAAAACAGCTCGCTTGGCTGAGTCGCATTATATAAGCTCGGCTTACGTGCGATCGCTGCCTGAGAACTTTTGCTTGGGTGACAAAACGGAAGCCATGTGTGTCGCACATCTCGAGAATACCCGCCTCTTACCAACTTCACTGACGGTTTAATGAACCTTGCCAAGCAGACGGCCGGCCAAAAAAGTGATTTTATTTGTTGTTAGAAGAAAGAAAAGCAAGCATAACTCTTTTTTATAGTATTTTTTCTTTTTCTTCTTCTTTTTTTGTTATTACAATTTGTCGTGATGTTGTTGAGGATTTATGTTTATAGTTTTTTGCGAGCGACTCACCTTACGGTTAACAATCTTCTAATTACCAGCAGACTCGCATGCAGTCAAGCGACTTTTTCTGTTGGTTTCTTTGATTTCAGTCAAGTGTTTTCCATCTGTACTTGTCATAATTGCGAGCATAACGAGCTGCCGTGTGGCTGCCATTAAGATTTTATTACCAATCTGCCATCGCATGCTGGGACGCAATCAGCCACCTGCTGCCAAAGCTGAGGCAGTGCAGCAATTAGACAGAAGCGAACCGATTTCGAGCACAATTCTCTGGCGACTACCGCTAGGTCATAAATCAAATACGCGCCTTAATCAACCTTAGCACCTCTTGACCCCAAAACAGTGGCAACTGCTAACAAGTGAAACAATGTAAAGCGATTTTCTCCTAAAGCTGATTTATTATTGTAACGTTGCGCACAAATTTTTGCATAGTTACGAAGAAACTTTTTTGTTTAATAAGACATCGCTCCAAATTCTGCCACAAAGCCAGATACACACAGTTAACTGTTTGGCCAAAAGCTTCGAATTGAGGCACACACCTAAGCCATAAAATGGATGAAAGAGTTTACTTGTTTGACTGACTGATGCTGCACAAAAGCATCGTTAACATATTGAGATCTTTATTGATTGATTTTTATGGAGAAGCATGAATTTAAATGAAAGATTAAACAAAGAGACATGGTGTTAGGCGGCCGTTGGACCCGCGAGCATTGTGTTACCCACATACGAAAATGACTCAGAGTTGGGTCAGCGAAGACCCATCATTATAATTTGGCGGTGTGTTTTGTCTTCAACAATTTTATTCATATTAGGGCGCATTGTGGTTTTCTTTTCGAGAACTACGTCGCTCTTATTATAAACACAAATGAACAAGAAGTGGCCGCTACACTTATGTATGTTTGTATGTATGTATGTATGTGTACTATTATTATTATTTGTGCCGCGACAAAAAGTGGGTTAATCTTATTCAATTAGAATAGACAGCATAAAACAAATCTTTTTATACACAACTGTGTAAGGCGCTTAACTTGTTGCTAATTGGATGCGGAACCAGCGGTCCACAAGTTAATGTTAATCGCGTTGTTTCTGGGAAAATCTTACTGGAGTCTTAAGGCAAACTAATTTGCATAAATTAGTGCAAGTGAAGCCAATGAGCAGCGCTAATTACGACTGCATAAATTCAGAGCATTGTTATTAATAATGGTCATACCTTGGTCTACGGACTATCCCCAGTTGACGATTTTCCTACCGTCACAGCGAGTTTTACAGTTTCACAGTTTTCAGTTTCCTTCAACGGCACAACAGAGTTTTCACTTCCGAAAGGCAGCCGAAAGCATTACCAATGGAAAATAGTCAGGGTCAGACACTAGAATGCAACCGCAAATTAAGCGGGTCGAGGCATCAAAGCCACAATTCAACAACGGCGACAACAAACATTTTTGCACTTCATTAACTTTTCGAACATTTGCGGAAAATGCCACGGGAAAATTCTTGTTCGTCTTCCATTCACGGCTTCTGCCTTGCTGGTTTGTTGCAACTGACGCGATTTACCGTTTAACAGGCAGCGGCGCACGCGCGATACAACCGCAAACACAACAACAACAACTACTACAACAATTTCAACTGTCAAGTGCTTACAATTCCACAGATTCTTTCACTTAACGAATGGAGAAGAGACGAGAAAATTACAACTCTGCGCGCCACACAACCGATTGCGGTAAAAGTCCAAAGCAGACTGACTGAACGAATGTCAAGAGCAGAAACTGCTGCTGCGCCAATACCGAAGTTACCATTGCAGGTAACTTCGAGAGACACAGGCCGACAAAGAGAGAGAGAGGGAGAGAGAGCACAGATTTTGTCGTCGTTGTTGTTATTGAATGGAGTGCTCGCCCAAATGTAATGGCCTAATGGTCGCTGTTGGTTTGTTTTTCCGCAACGAAAAGTGCAAGCCGTTTGCAGATATGCCCGCCATTTGGC